ATAGAACAATTAGTTGCATATACTAGGTGCTCAGTGAGTGAATGAATGGATACATTTTAAAATTAAAGACAGGCTCTAAAGGTGTGATTGGTTTGGTCAATCCTTTAATATGTAAAAAAGTCCAGAAAGAAATCTTTGAGATGCCCATTTATTATATGAGAGCCACAGACCAAGGACAATGATTAAGAACTTTATAAGAACTTGGCAGTCTTTTTATTATTTACTAGTTCCTGCTATGTGCCAAGTGATGTACTCAGGAAGGGATTGGTGATCAAAACAAGACATGGTCTCTCTGCCACCTTTGAGAATTTGCAATTTAGTCTTTTCTCTTTTTCTTTCTTTCTTTCTTTCTTTCTTTCTTTCTTTCTTTCTTTCTTTCTTTCTTTCTTTCTTTTTTTTTATATCAGGGATTGGACCCAGGAGTGCTTAACCACTGAGCTACATCACTAGCCCTTTTTACTTTTTATTTGAAGATATCATCTTACTATGTTTCTGAGGGTGGCCTTGAACTTATGTTCCTCCTGTCTCAGCCTCCCTAGCTGCTGGGATTACTGGAATGTGCCACTGTACCCAGCCAGAATTTTATTTTAAAAAAACTGATCTTTCAGTTAAAAATTAAATACATATCTTAAAAATGAAAGCAGAATAGTCATTTTGAACTTTAGAGTTTGTTAAATAAAAATTATAGGAGGCTGTTGTTTTGAACTCAACTCCTGTACAGATCAAGCTAAAAATCAAAATGGAGTCACTAATGCTAAAGTTCCATGTCACCAAGTTCAAAGTAAACTGTTTATCTGAGCTTTTGAAAAATTAGGATTAGAGAACTAACAGCCAGATTTCTCCAAATAGGCCAGTTTCAATTGGCATGATAATGAAGTTCCCTCTTTATCAATTCTTGCATACAAGAGAAGTAACCTAAAGTAGTCTAATGTTAAGCAGTTATTTTTCTATTGTTCTATCTCCCTGTTACCATCTTAGAAGGAAAGTAACTTTGAAGTGATAAATACATTTCTTATTCTTTTGTTTCTGCTTTCTTCATCCTTCCTCTGTAAAACCAGCCACTTCTGTTCAAGCCATCAGAATACTTCTATTTAGTGGAATAAACTGTTGCCTATTCCTCAAATTAAAAATACAGCCAATTAAAAGCTTTAAACTAAATTTTAATTTTGTCCTTTGGCAGATCTAGAAATTTATTATAAAATATTTCAGATCTAGCTGGCTGTGGTGGCACACGCCTGCCGTCCCAGTTACTTGGGAGGTTTAGGCAGGAG